ACTGATCTTCATAAGAAAATGCATCAGGCCACTGTCATCAATGTTGGTTTAGCGGTTTCATTATAAAATAGGGATGAGTATGAAAAATTGACTACTCGGTTCAACAAAATGGATGCGGATATTAAGTGATGTGAAACTGATATCAGCATGTATTGTTTGTTTTAAGGCTGGTTTTTGGTCTCAGTTATGCCACAACCAGTTGATGCTATGGCCTCACTCAGCATGAACTGATGTTCGGTTCATTCAGGTTTGTAATGAGGAAAAAGAATGCTGGAAAGATGAGGTGTGTGGAGGGAGGTATTTTAAGTAAATTGATGAAAAGTGGCTTTATATACTCTCGCCTTTATCTCGTTAAGGCTAGAAAGCAATATTGACATCAATCTATAAATTGTTAATTTGTGTTACCTCAGTTGTTATGATTATTATTAAAAATGCAGGGACATCCAGAATAATATGCCATTATTAATCTACAAAAAATGTTTTTGCATCCAAAATGGTTTTATTTGAAATAAAATACATAAATACAGTATACAGTGATGTATACCGAAACCATGGGTAATTATACCATGATATAAATTTTTAGGATGGACATTTTCTACATTCAAATCTGCATTTTTTATCCATTAAATTGCACAAATATTTGAATTTACAATTTTATATTGACAAAAGCGGCAACCATTGTATATGTCGCACAGGACACCATTGACAGGGAACTGCAGTCTGCCACTCTCACAAGATCGAACTCCCAGCTCAGGATGATGCTGTCTGTTCACAGATGGAACCAGAATCTGAAAAGAACGTTATTAGTAAAACAGGGGCCCAGTCACATTGAACATTTCTCGTTTATGTATGATAATGCTGTCTCTAAAACTTACGGCTTTAAGTTACTTTAACTAAAGGCTTTAGTTACTAAGAAAAACTAACAATAAAAATCCACTATACTAAATTGCCTTGGCTTTAGACCCATGCTTTCAAGTAGCAGCGTGTACAAATCCTGAAAATGCTACTCTAACCACTAGGTTGCCTTCTGAGGCTTGCTTGCAAGTTCATTACCACAAACGAAAATGAGCAACCTAGTACACCTCTTGCAAAGATGTCTGAATTGAGCATGTGGTTTCGCTTCATGCATCAGTCACGTTCCTCCAAGCAAGCAAGAGAGGACAGTCCTAAAGGAGATTTTGGAGCAAATACCAAATTCCATTCATATATTCATCAACTGATACTGCTGAATTCTGAAAAACGCACTGAAAATACCTGCCCAGCATTTGCTAGTTGGACATGTGTTCAGAAGGTGCACAGATCCTAAATTTAAAAATGTTACATTTTTATGGACAATTCCCAATTATGATTTCTTTACTGTCACTTTTTTCTACACAAAAAGGTACAGTTAAAGAGTCAAAGATGTGATTTTTTTCAAATAAATCAGTGTTATTAAGTGGAGCTGTTTTTTTTCAGTATTTGCTTCTCAGCCGTTCTTTTTTTCCACCACCAAAGTGTTCAAAGTGGCCAGATATATTTGAAATAAGCATCTGACCCAGTTCTGGATTCTAGCAATCTCCTACTTTACTGCAGTAGGTTGCTCAGTTAGGGCTGCTGGCATCCCTCCGGGCTCCAAGACAGTCACTGTGCCCTTGAGCAAGACACAAAATCCAATATATCCCAGGGGTGCAACCATTGTCAAACCATTCCCTGCCCTCAAGCCAGGCCCATAAATATCTTTTCAGTCTTATCTACTTGACAAAATAAAAGATCTCCTAATAGTTCAGTTCCTGTGTTAATAATGTTACTAATAGGAAATACAAATTATAGCATTTACAAAAAACTTAGCTGATTTTTTTCTTTTCTTTCTTTCTTTCTTTCTTTTAAGAATACATGGGTTTTAACTCTTCTCATTCTGGATTTGTCCAGTCTTGTTACTAGCGCCGAATCAAGCTAAGAACACAACATGCATACAGGTTTACAATTGTAGAATGAAGGTGAATTTTTTTTGTTTTTGGCACATACAGAGGAAGGTTGACATGGAGAAGGATATATCCAGAGAAAATCCAGGAGACAGGAGTCTGAATAAAATATCAGAGAATGTTTAAATATCTAACTTAAAGTGAAAAAAGACTGGTATAATTAGTTTGTCTTACACTATATGTCTATAGGTCTGCCAAAGCCTGCAATTTATATGCTCATTTCATTCAAAACAACATGCTGTGCATCTTTGTCCCGAGCAAAACCATTGACTGAATCTCAGATGCCTCCCTTCTCCCTGTGTAGTGCACCATGTTGGAATTAAAATGGTGGCTCCTGCACCCAAACAGTGCATCATATGTCTAATAAAGAGCCATTTGGGATTCAGCCAGTGTGCACAATTCCATACTGGACAAATAATGCACTGTTTTGATGTAGAAGTCTGAACTTACATAATGCAATAAATAGGAACGTATTTACATAAATCACCGTATTTAAGCTTGTACCTCGCAATTAAATTCAGCCAAATTCAGCAAAGTCAGCATATACGGATGTTAGTACCATGAATTTTGACTGTTTTGTCTTCATTTCTGTGTCTTCACCCATGTAGGAGCAGGGGCTATGACTATGTTTGGGAGTGGGTTTTTTGGATGAAGCTGAAATTTGGTCGATCATGAAATTCAGTTGGCTCTGACCTATTCAGGCTTAAAAATGCCCTAAAGTGACACAGTTTATGCCTGTTTTTAAAGTTGGCTTTAAAGCTGAATTCACTGATTGGAAGGGGTGTCTGAATACTTACGGGCATGCAATTTACTTTCATTTAACAGTCTGACTTATTTTTCAGTTTCTCAGAATTAAATGTAGAGAGCGCAGTAACAAGTGGCATTTCAAAATTCCAAGAGAAAGTCAATTCTCTTGTGTTGTCATGTTTTTTTTTCTTCTCAAAAAAGGAAACATTGTCACATAATGCTTCTGGATGTTTTAATATCATTTCTATTTTTGGTAGTTGAAGCTTTTAAGGGACTAAAATGAAGGGTGAAAAGGGAAAAACAGGTAAGGTAAATGAGAGTGTAAGTCAGAGAGAAAGGAAAGGATAGTTTTAAAAGTTGTATGGATCAGTGGGGCAGGGAGAGCAGTCTTAGCAATAAGTTCCATTCAAGTTTTAATGTTGAGCATTGACACAAAATAAAGCTGACAGGGCAGTTTTAAGCTTCTGCATCCTTCTGCCTGGACACGATGCATTTCATGAGACACAGAAACTGTACACTGACTTATTACCTCACACATGCATGCACACCCACTCTCTCATATACCACAACAAGTTCAAGGGTTTGTCATCTATTGCACGCGGGCTGTTCGGCTGTCATATCCTGTTCTGGCAGCCTGCCTCATACACTCTTTAATATCCCCCTCCTCGCTCCCTTGTTCTCTTCCAGCTTATAAAAGATAGAAAGATCAGCATTGTATGTCTGTGAAGGAGAAAGCCTGGCACAGTTCACGTGAGGACCTGACTTCAATAATGAATATCTTTAGTCTTTCAGCAGAAAATGATTCTTATCCAGAAAATGATTCAGTGATTGCTCAGAGGACCTTATGACACACAGGGCCAAAATGAAAGTCATTCAGATGGGGAGTCAGTTAGAGATGAACAAGCCGTCAAATTATTTGAGCCCGAATTGTGAGGACATTGGGTTTCGAGACACAAGTCTAATTTAAGAAAGTTCCCAGAAAGCTCTTCTCTTATATACGTGCTGAAACCATTTGTATCCATTCTGTCATTTATCTCAGTAGTTTTTTTGATGAATCACTGGCATCATGAATGGATTAGTATTTCAGACATTTTCCAGATTTTTTCCAAAACACTTTTTTGTAGTAAGTTAGCATAACACAGAAGGATATGATTCCACAGGAGAAAAAAACTGCATACTCTGTACTGAGAGAGGGTTAGAGAGAGAGATGAAGGTCAAAATGAAAGTAGAAAGCTGGCTTCTGCCCAGACATGAGCACTAAAGCTATTTTACTGTTACCCCTTCAATATCACCTATCACCACAAGAGGTTAAGATATATGTTCACAAAATAATTAATCCCTCCCCCCTTTCTTATTCTACCATGTTGCATAGCCTCAGTTACAACATGTCCCAGACAATGTCTAAAACAATATCTGAAGAGCAAAATTGGGTTGTGTCCATTCCTGAACTGAATTGCAAACAACAATGCTTAGAGGTCCAATGCCAAGATGCTTATCAGATGACATTGATTCACTGAGATACTTGGAATAAATTCAAAGCCTCCATGGCATTTTTTGCTCCAATACTGGAGCATACTTATGGTCAGAGCAGAGGTCTTAAAATCCAGACCTTGAACCAGTTTCCAGTCCTGGATTTTGTATTCAGTGGTAGTTAAAGCTACACTATGTAAGTTTTGCGGATTTGGAGACCTCTCTGCTGGAAGTGTGTAACTGCAGGCAACGTGCTGAAGAACGTTTTTTAATGTCGGTTGAGCTTCAGACCCCTTCCCGGATTAATATGATGATTGTGAGCACGTTAAAAGAGTATTCAAAGAGAACTCAAACTTTGTGAAGGACGTGTCTTCCAAAGAGGGTGAATTATCTACTGGTGTCGTCATATCTTCATCAGTGTAATGTTGATTTTGCATTTGAGACCTAAACATTTAGCCAGACCTTTTTGAGAGTGTATGAGTGAGATTGTTAAGTAAATGTATGACGTGGTCCGAAAAATTCCAGCAAAATCCAGTCCGACACTTCTGACTTAAATTAATTCTGGCTTTACAAGGTGACTCAAAGCAGTGTATGCACACAATATTTTATTTATTTTTCTCCTGACTCAGTACTGCTACTTATTTTAGTTGTAATAAAAAATCTTACATAGGGCAGCTTTACGTGAACTGTCTATGTAACTGATTGGTCACCAAGTGTCATACATATCAGGAACTGCAAAAGCCAGGTCCAGATTGAAGACCTCTGGGTTAGAATGTTGTTCTTGCACATTTAACCAGTATGTACCTTGTTTGTGTATTGCAGTATGAGTTCAAAGCAAAGAACATTAAGAAAAAGAAAGTGAGCATGGTGGTCTCGGTGGATGGAGTAAAAGTAGTACTGCGCAAGAAACAGAAGGTAGGCTGTGTGTACATTCTTTTTTTTGTCCTCTTTGTAACTCTTATATTAAGATAATGCACCCTGTTGAACATGCGTTATCATTATGCAAACTAGATTATAATAACTGGTTGGTGTTAACTTTGATTTATTGCTAGACATGTATTACATAAACATATTACAATATTGTAATCTATAATATATTACAGTTAAAAGATCAGGCAGAGCTCAAAAATAAACAGTTGGTACTGATCATTAACAGTTGTTTTACCCTGACTTTTCATTCACACAGAGAAAAGAATGGACATGGGATGAAAGTAAAATGCTGGTGATGCATGATCCCATATACAGGTGAGTCTGCAATGTAATCACAATCTAAACTACTATTTAATTTGCCAGCTGTTCCAGTTTTGTCCAGTTCACCTATTCACTCTCAGAGTGATCCATTGAGATCCCTGAGGTCCAACGAATTTGATTTGTTCCACCTGCGCAATGATCCACATTTTGCAAAACTGCAGCTTAATCTCTTCTCTGTTGGTTTGTGTGTTAAAGATTGTTTAACTTTATTATGGCAGTAAAGGGCATATGTGTATAGTCCAGTAATTGGGATTTTGGCCACTGTACTGTAAAATCTCTACTGGGCTACAGAAAATGATCATTCTGGCTCTGCACTTCTGTTATCTCTTCACTATGTCATTACTTATGTAACATATGCACACTTAGGAACAATGCAGTAATTTGCTGCTTGTTGTAATCTTGCTAAAATTGATTAAAAAAAGAAAAGATAGAACACAGAAAGCAACATTTTTTTAGAGCTTGCCTAGAAGAGAATTTCACCCTGGCATGCTCTGCCAAGTGAGGATTATGTGCTGCTTGAAATATTGTAGATCAATACAGCTACAGTGCTTTCTGAGGTATCTGCGTGATGTAGAGCCTTGTGCAATTCAAGCCTCAAAGTGCTTGAGTGTTTGTTCTGTGTTTTTATGCTGTTCTCCTTTGTTGTCTGTATAGATCATTAAATAGGAATTTCACCAGTTTTATTCAATATTCTTTCATAATTCAATGATCGAGATGTAAACAGTCATTTAGAAATTTCATTGCAGAGAAACTTACAGACTTCTTTACAGTGTTGCTGTTGTTTTAGACGAGCTTCTCAAAACAATGTTGTGATAACTTCCTGTGAGGGAGCTTTTAGAGGCATTAAACTTTTCACCACCACTGTGAACAATTCTGATCCAGTAAATTTTTTTTCAGAACGAAGCAGTTCACATCAAACCACTCTGAATGACTCTGACATGTGACAATAATCTAGTTTAAACCTTTAACTGTTTTTTGAAAATGTTTTGAAAAATTGATAGGTTTCTTCTTTAAGTGGGGGGAATTGTTTAATCATTCTGTCTAAATTTTATTTTTCAAATGTATTTAATAAAAGAGGCTTCACTGCTTCGGTGAAATATGCAGAGGATGAATGAGCAGTCCTTAGTAAGCAGTGGGCAAAAATGCAATATTGTGACACTTGAATGAATGCAATGTGAAACAGTGGTGCCAAATAAAAAAAAAGAATAAATATGATGAATTCAGTGTAACGTGGAAATGGAGAAAAACATGATGGCATAATGAGCTAGTGCACTGACTGTGCAGTTTTAATTGCATTGGTTAAAATCTGTTTTTTAATAAGAAGCAAGATTGTTACAAATACTGACAATGCAGGGTGTTCAGGAAAGCGATTTATGATGTATTTTATTGTTAAATTAACATATCTTATCACCCACTCATATCTCTCTCTGTCTCTCTCAGGATTTTCTATGTGTCCCATGACTCTCAGGATCTTAAGATTTTCAGCTACATTGCCAGAGACGGATCCAGTAACACTTTCAGATGCAACGTCTTCAAGTCCAAAAAGAAGGTAGATTGGCTTCTGAACTTTAAAGAGTTGAGGTGGTCCCTGTCTTTTTTTCATTATTTCCCTCTGCCTCCCTGTCTCAGGCCTGATCATGTCAACTTTTAACTTGATCGTCTCTTTGATCACACGGAAGCTTATGATGGCTTGTGAAGGGGGCTTGACTATGTCCTGTTCTTTTAATTTCTCTGTGGTTCATCTCTTCCTCTCTTTCTTCTCTTGTTGTCCCCCCATTCATTTATTAGTTCATATTAGAGCTGCATGATATTGACATAAAATGCCATGTTCGATAAAGCCGTCGGACATCATGATGACGTTATGAGAACTGATAAATTACTATTAAAATAATGTGTCTGTGGTTAGATTTAATGCAAGTGCAGACATTTATTTTGGGATGTGTTAACAGAACTCTAACTAACCTCTCTTCAAACCCCTCTTTAAGCAAATCGCAAAATACAAAATTACATCAGAACTGCAAGCACATTTTTTTGTGCACTGAAGGACTGAGGAACATTCAGCATTACCTCAACAGCTTTTTTCTACAGGGAGACTGACTTAAAAGAGGCCCTGAATGTTCTGTTGTAACTCCCGTTAGGATGAAGCAAAATAATATGTTACATACCTTGACGTATGTGTAATCGATTGCATTACATGCGATGCTGGAAGTGATTCTGCCAGACACACGAAGGGGTATGAGGGTATGCACCCGGAAGTTGCAAACTGAGGTTAAATGTCACGATGGCTGTCCGGCACCTGCCCTCTCGCTCTGACACAGGGGCATCCCGGCTTGTTCGAAGCTCCATATACTGAGGAGCTCATTGCACACTGTTTCGTTCAGATTGCTTTGTTCTAGTGAGAGTTATTACAGAATATTCGGGGCTTCTTTCGAGTGAATCTCCCTATATAAAGGCTACAAAACCAAATAAATATATATTCATTTTTTTCTTTATTTTGAAGGAATCGTAAAGTAGCATACTTCAGTAGCCCAGCTAGCCTGTGTTAACCTGAGCTAACCTGTGTACTGCATGTCTTCCCCTTTGTTTTGAGTTGAATTTCCATTAAAGCTGAGTTACGGGTGATATTTTAAGGTCTCTGAGTGTGATTTTTAGTTGGCCATTTAATTCAAATGGTTAAGTTATTCGTCTCCTGTGTGGGAGAGCAGGTTCAGTCAAAATGCAGAGAAGCAGGCTTGTAACAGTTTGTCCTGGTAATGTAATGATCATGCTGCGTATATGAGGTAATTAGATCTGTTCTGTCATTAATGCTCTAACAATGTGTTTATTGTGGAAACTCAAATCATGATAACAGGACATTAGGACTGTGTTAAAATGGTTTGAAAATTGGAAACAAAAATAAACCTAAAACTTGCAGTAGTGTGTTGGAGGGCAGCACGGTATGTTATTTATTATAAAACGGATAGTTCCGGTCCTAGAATCTGATAGGCTGAGCTGCGTTCGAAACTGTTGTAAAAATCCACGATAAAACATGGCTTTGACCAGCTCCCAACAACTGAACTCTGTATTACTGCGCCACGGAACGAAAAACCCTTTTGCTGTTAATGGATTAATCTTTGATGCTAATGCTGATCACACGGAGTACCGAGTGTACTGATGAAGTAAGAACCCATTTTTGTTTAAACTGAGGGGCTGAAAACTTATTTTCTTAACTAGAACTAGGCAGGTCAGCTAGCCAACAGGCTAAAAGATAGCAAACATGCTAAACAACCCCTACATTAATATCACAGGCTTGAATTAAAGTAATCACAATATGATTCACTGAAAAACGGCAATATAAAAGTCTAAAGAATGTCACCTGAATGGCTTACATGCTTCAAATGTCCGTGTTTCAGTCAGAAGTAGCATCGAACCCAGGCTGAGTCCCAAACGGCTCTGTACTCCCTAGCTAAATAGTGTGCAGTGTAACATTAAGTTTAGAAATTCTAGATTCCGCAGTGCTGATTGAGTATGAATGTGGATGAATCCCAAATGAACATTTTAGCGATATTTTGCATTGTTGGGGAGCAGGAGTCAGTATTTGAATTCCTACGTAGTGCACTATGTAGGGAGCAGGGGAGCCGTTTGAGATTCAGCCCCAATGTGAGAAAAGTGGCATTGTCAGACTGGCAGAAGACTCGCAGTGGTAATTTGGAGACCAAAAAGTACTTATAAACAAAGTATTTGCATTAAACAGTGCTATGTTACATATGTTCACTGTTACATGAAAAAAGTTTTAAAAAACCATGAAATATCTGCAGTTTACAGTGATTGGCGAACTACATTGCTTGGCGGAATACTTGTCAATGTCAATTATTATTAATAATAACTTAAATAATTATCTAAAACATTGTGTATTTTAATATATTTTATGTTGGCCGCTGTTTTATAAAAGCAATAAGCCACGCAAGGCAGTGTGTTAAAGAACACCCTTCCCCATGATAAAATTGCAGTAACCCATGGCCTCTCGTGGCTTATTGCTTTATTAATTAGAATCATTGTATCATTGTTGCAATATTGGTACCATGGAAGGCTGCAATATTCCAGTGAACCTTCTAACAGTTGTTTCTGTGTGTGTGTGTGTGTGTGTGTGTGTGTGTGTGTGATTCTGATGCTTACCAATATGTTGTAATCTGTGACGACTCCTGTGTTTTTCAAATGTTGTAAGCAGTAATATTGTAATGTGACCATTTTGTTCAGCCCTAGTACATGGACATTAATTGTTAAATGGGAAATTAATTTGTAAATGTCTCAGAGCCAGGCTATGCGTATAGTGAGGACGGTGGGACAGGCCTTTGAAGTGTGCCATAAGCTGAGTCTGCAGCATGCTGAACAGAATGGGGATGGACAGCTGGACAGCCCTGCAGATGGAGAGAGCGATAAGTCTGCAGAGGAACCCACTAATGAAGGTGAGACAGGAACATTACATGCTTTTACCACAACAGTTACTCTGCTCTGTCCTACTTCAACACACGCTAGTATTTTTAGCTTAAGCAGGGGTGTTAGGTGACAAGAGAGCTACAATTGCTAATAACGAATGAAATCAAGCAGGAAAAGACACATTTGTGCAAGAGAATCGGGAATAAATTCCCACTTTAGCAGTGTTAGAATTTTTTTTGTTTTTAAGCACTATGTACCTTTCATTTTATATAAATCAAACTAGGGCCATCATAATTACTCATATACTTGATCTTAAAAAAAAATGGCAATTTACATAATAATACTGCATATTTTAAATTCTTTGGCTGGTGTCTTTTACATTAAAAGGCAGAGCCTGAAGGACACAAATTTTTATTTTTTGTGTTTATATGCATTTTTTGTCACATTGTATTATGTATTTTTTTAATGACATCTTTTTAAAAGCTTCCCTTTTTATCTTTTTACAATAAAGTATTTTAGACTGTATACAACAAAATATTTTAGGAAGATATATGTATATATTTTTCTATTTTCTGCATAATCATTATTGTAGAGAAACTTAACTCAAATTTCTTCACTGTGGTGGTGATAGGGATCAGGGGTCATGAGGTCTACAGTGTGAATATAGGCATTTTATTTACTATATTCCTGTTATTTTCCTTTTTCCGTGTGATGAGCTGTTTTAGGTCTCAGTATGTGACATGGCTAATGACTAGACTGTTAGAGTGTGATAATTATATTACAGATCACACATTTAACAGTCCATTCTATTTCATTTTTTTTGCTTTATCATTAGAGCTGCCATGCAAGATTACTTTGTTGTCCCTTTATTGTTTCCGAGTTAGACATGACACACCTACCCTATTGGAAGACAGGGGAGTTGTGTTTTTTTTGAAAGAAAAATAATTATTGTATTTATTTTGTTAAATGAAACATTGTTGCCGCACAAATCTGCAGGTTTTTGGTTCCCAACTAATTGATTAATCAAAGTCAATAGTATACAAACCTATGTTTTCATTCATGTATAATCACCTGTAACAACAAATTGTAGTGATTTTGTTCGTTTAGAATGAGCCCTTCATATCTACATATCTTCTAACTGTTCTTACAGTTTGCTGTCTTTTTACAGTAGCCTAGAATGGACAAACCAAACACACACACACACACACACACACACACACACACACTCTAAGCCGCTTATCCTTCTGGGTCGCGGGGCCTATCCCAGAAGTCATTGGGTGGAAGGCAGGATACACCCTGGACAGGTCACCAGAAAGGGTCACCAGAAAATTTCTCTAGAGCAGAGCATTTACATCAGACCACTCTGAATGACTTTGCTTACATTTTAACCATTTAATTTGGTAGAGATGTTGAAAAATTGGTGGAATTCTCCTTCAAGTGCATTTTTAGTGTTTTTTTGTGTGTTTGTTTTTTTTTTTGTGTGTTTTTTTTAATGAATAACTGGCAAATGACTTGATTACTAATATAATTGATGGCGACAGGCCTAGATCAAACCCACTTCTTTACTGATGTTTCTCACAGGCCATCAGCTGACTGGAGCTGAACGGGATGAAGTCAAAGATGTGGGGGCAGAGTCTCAGTCGGCTAGTGTGTGTGAGCGTGCTATGAACGAAATCCTTCAAAGCCTATCAGATCTCAACATGGTCAAGCCAGGACAAACCCTCCAGGTGGGAATGTCTGTTTATGACAAGGTTATATATAGTTTAAATAGGATGTGTGTGTTTGACAGAGTATAAGAGGCACATGGTGACAATCTTTTACATTATTTAGCCAAACAGATGGCTTTCTAAAATCTCGTGTCAGTGAAAGTGAAGACATTTAAAGACGAGGCTGTCATAAAATGTAATCTCCCCTTAAGTGGAAGCCTTTTCCGTCTTTCCCTCCCACTTTTCATCATCCTGCATTTAACCTCAGTGTATGCCTCAAGTTGTTCTTTGATGGTGTTATCTTGCCTTAGGCCCATAAACATGCTTTTTTCGCCATAAAGTGTTAGAGAGACTTTATGAACTGCATATCTAACTTCAATTGCTTAACCACAACTGAAGCAAAAGCAAATCATATGGCTCTAATGAGACGGAGACAGTTAAGCTGCTCAGCTGAGCTGGGCTTCTACACGGAAGTGAAAAATAAAAGCCATGGAACTGTAATGAGTCTTCGCCTACCACCAAAAAACGTGCAGGCACTTCCAAGCTAATAGGGTGAGCTGTCTTAGTTGTTTGAAGCTTTCTTTTGTGGTCTTATTGTTAACAGCAAGGTTGGCAACAGCTGCCCACTTGTCAGTCCTAAACCTGTTTAAGCAAACAGCAAGACATAGCAATTAAACTTGCCCAACAGAGCAGTAAGCTGTGCCATAGCATTTTCAGCAAACCTGTAAAAGCTGCCCTGAATCAACAAACCCAGCCTGGCCCTACTGAGGCCCTGTTTTCTCATCAGTGCTATTCATGTGGCTGTAGACTCAAAAAAAATTAGTAGAAGCAACCTCAGCCCAGCCAGCTATGTCCACAAGATGTAGCTGAAGCAGTACAAATGCCACAGTTTTCAGTTCAGAGTCACTTCTGAGAGCCATCCATCACATGCAACATCGCTGGCAGAAAATCGAATTGGTGTCCTGTGTCCGATATGTAGTTAATATCCCACAGGGGTTCAAAAATGACAGGTTCCACAATCCAGAGAGGAGTGATGAATAGGTGTTAGTGTTTTCAGTTCAGGCATCACAACTGTTCACCAATTTATGCAGAAGGAGAAATAGTTCCTTTTAGTTAATTTTACCTTTTAATTTACCCTAATTGAATAAAGCGATATCTCAGTTCTGTCATTGAGTCTTTTTTAAAGGAAAATCAATAACAGAGCTAAACATTTATAGATGTTTTTTTTTTCATGCACTGCCATTTTGAGCAAGCAAACTAATTTATAGACTTTAGTCACCTCTTATTGTTACTCTGGTTGCATAAATGTTTCAGAAATCTAAAATAAGCTTTTGATTTAAATTGTTTTTGGGCATTTTTTTCCCAGTTTTGTAACCAATTTAGTCATGTTCAGTTTTACCCAGTAGCTAGGTCTCCCCTTGTCATATGATACAGCCAGCGCTTGAAGGGTGAAGTCTAACGCATGCTTCCTCTAAATCATGTGATACACCACAGCATCTTTTTTGAACTGCCACTAATGCAAAGCCATTGGACAGTTGAATGTGCTTGGAGAAGAGCACTAACTGACATTTCTGTGACATTAGCTAATTGCCTGTGTTAGCAATTGTTCTGAGGGATGGAGGGAGAGGGAGGGCCCTCCTACCCACACACGGGGAATGAGGCCAATTGTGCTCGTTGACTCCCAGCCTTGGATGACTGTAGCATCTTTGGGGGCTGAATTTGCAATCTCCTGATGATAGGGCCAATGCTCAGAGGTCTGCAAAATACAGGACACACTAGGCTTGAAACCTTTTTGATTTATGCTTTTAAATGATGGTTCTTTCAATAGGACAGAACTGAGCTGACAAAAAGAGTTAATAAATATATATATAAATATAAAGTTTATAAATTAATATGGTATGTACAGGAAGTGATTATGAAATTCAGCATCCTTCACAACAGAATGACTGGTTATTCAATCCAGTGAATGCATTTATTTTTACTGTCAGTTGAATGTGTGTAATTTTTATTAACATTAAAATCATTTTCAAAAGCATTAGATCAGTAAATTTTGACACTTTGTTGTTGGCCTGTTTATTTATTGGTTAAGGTTAGAGTTTTTCACTGAAAACCAAAATTGCCGTTTTCTGGGTGTTTTTCGCTGGAAATTTTCTGCGCATGGAATTTTGATGCATCTCTAGAATGTACATTTGCCCTATGCATCAAAACTGCTGCAGCATGTGGTTTAACAAGCTAAAAACTACCTCTCAATATATAAACACTGGCATTTACACCACTAGGGGGCTACCAGTTATGTCTCTACCAGCAGATAACTAGAGAAAGAACTGGGCATTGTCATCCTTTTTTCCTTTTTTCTCAAAGTCTTGCATTGGAGGTAGAGGGGCCATTGTAGCTTTTTGTTCTCCTGTTGAAGTGAGGAGATGAAAGCAGCATGAAACAAAGGAGCTGAATGTTGCTCGGCTTTGGAGGGAGTCACCCTAATCCTGAAGCCCGGAATGTTCGGTGTGCTTTTGGAAGTGAGCCATGTTGTACTGGTCTGTGAGACTCCGCTCCAGAGAGATAAGGAGAGAGAGAGAGAGACGGGTGGATGGATTTTGGTAATTGCCATCCGGATTTTCTCCCTATTTTGCCAAAAAAGACTTAGGGCTGGATGAGTGGAATGATAGACAGAAGGACAAACGGAGGCTGGGGGAGAAAACCTCAACTGATTCGTGATTCTTGAGAAAATAAGCAGATGAGAAATATCCTGTTTTGACAGCCTGAGTTTGTACACCTGCACTTCTGATCTATATTTCTTAGTGAGTTAAAAAAAATATTTTCTCAGTTGCTTTAGAGCAGTGATTTCCTACCCTGGTCTTTAAGTACCTCAGATCTGATTTTAGTGGTTCCCATTCTCTAATGCCCCCACTTCAACTCAGGAAAGGCTTGTTAATGAACCGATTAGTTGGATCAGGTGTGCTAGAGGAGGAAAACGCTAAGGTATGTAGTGCGGAGGACAAGGGTTGTTAACTGCTTTTCAATCAGCACTGGTGTAGTGTAATTATTTGGCTCCCTCTAGTGGACACAGTTAGCCATTGCAAATGAAAGCAGCATTACATGTGACATTACCTTTGCTGTTATTTGCTGCATTTGGTGCAGGGGTATGTCCTGCTTTAGAAACAACAGTGTGAACAGTGTTTTCATTATTTACCACTGATGAGATTTTGAAACATAAGTACAGAGTATGGTGGAATACGCTACACATACACCCAGAAAATATCCTTGATAGATTTGTCGAGTCACAGGGTAGGTGGCTGACATAAATTTGTATTTAGGGGTGCATGTAAGATTATTAAGCATTAAGCAGTCACATTTAACTGCAAATGTCAGGAGAATTTGAGAGGAGATGTGGAAGTGATATGTCAGAGTGAAGGGGATCTGAGTGAAGCTTTTAGGAACAAATTTAGGAGGCTTTTGGGTGACTTGATAAATAGTTTTATCTTCTATTGTGTAGTTCACATTGAGTTAAGGAAAGAAAGTTGGAAAGAAGTATTTGATGGTTGACCATATCAAACTTTATTCAAATTGCCTTCCATAAGTTAAAGAAACAGCAATGTGCCATTTTGGTTGTGGGACTTTTTACAGAATAAATAAAATAAAACAATTAACAGGAACTAAATTCTCACCTTCAAATATCCTATTTAATTTCATCCTTTTCTCACCACTCTGTATGTTTTTCTCCATAGGTTAATCAATATTTCTCCATTAAGTTTCCTTTCGCATTTCTAATGATTTCAGCAGAAGCAGAAATTTGCTTTAGCCTTCCTGAGCAGGATTATAACTTTATTTCTAAGACTCTTAGAAAGTAAGCTGTTGGTATCCGGACCAGTTTTTTTACACCTTTAAAGCATCATGTATTTTTATCATTAAGTACCATATTTTGTCATTAAACCAAGGTAAACTCTGTTTTCCATTATGCTTACAAGTTATTTTAGTAAACTGAAGTATTGAAGTATTTATCTAAACGTTGATGTTCAAGCTTATTCACACTTTTTACAGAAATTTACATTGTTACAGTTAGTTTGTCTTAGTCCATTCTCAAGTCTTTTTTTGGGGGTAAATGTCACATTTTTATTCCTCAATTATATTTTGGTTTTCTTGCCCTCATACAGTTTAGGAACTTCAATGAGATCATTAAAAAACACAACCTTTGCATTTGGCACTCAAAAAAGTACAATAACAATGAAGGACAGTGTAATGGTAACTCCAAAGTAGTGTGTTCAAAAACATTGAGCATGATAGCCAACTTTTAGATGCACATCTTAGGTGAAATGTGCCAATTAAAAATAAATAATTTTAAAGCTAAGTAGTTTTAAAGAAAACAAAATATTGGGTTGGTATTGACAGATACTCAAGGTCTCAAAATCGGTATTGGAAAAAAGCAGAATTATGCCATCTATAGGCCTGAATCAAAATATTCAAATAGGCATGAACGTTTTCAGAAAACTGGATAGTAAATTAGGATTTTTGATAAGCAATTTAGCTTCTCCCTAATGATATACATTCTCATATTTAAGAAACATGAGATGTCTGAACTTCATACGCCAACAGGGGCAGTGAACAGACCATATTTTACATTTTGGTCAGTTTCTTATCGATGTAGTCCATAGAAACACTGCTGCAACCAGCTAAAGACTGTCGTACACTGAACAAGAAGCACTGTGCTGCGGTCTCTGGCACAGTTTGCTGTACAAAGCACAGCTATAACACATAGAAAGTGTCGCAGAAAAGACATGATGAACAAGAAGTTCCTTTGAGACTCTACTTGAATAGATTGAATAGAATGCAATCTTCATATCGTTTAGCAAATTTATCGAGTTTCAGCTAACTATCTCTTCACAAACTGTTTTCAAGCTAAAAGGTATGAGGTGAAATATGATTCAGTTTGTTTACATCAAATGCCTTTCTTCATGTACAGTGGCCCCCAAAATGTATTTGGACATTTGTGCTGTGTTTAAGTTCAGTGTTTAAAGAAACAAACACACCACTCCAAGGCTGCAGTTCTTTCAGAAGCTATTCTTTCAAAAAGCGTCTACTTGGTTTGACTTCTGCAGGTTTGCATCAAAAATGCCATTATACGCTTCTGAGTCTCATTGAGAAGACCATGAACTCAAAAGTGTGCAAAAGCATTTGATGGCTGGAGTTCTTCTCCAGGCTTTCTACACACAAAGAGTTTACCATCAGTTAGATGTGATGCTCGAAGTGTTTTTCCCTGAAACAAATATCATGTATATATGTATTTTACCAATGGTCAAGTGGTCAAATCCAAAATCTAAAGTCCAAATACGTTTTGGATTTTGGGGCCACAAATAAATCAGAACCTGCCTTTACTGTGAATTGTATCTTATCGGTAAACTTCTTAGCCTGGGAAACAAAACACAGCCAGCGGAGTTTGTTAGGATTAGCCATGTTAGACTTATATAATCAAAGTTAGAGTTTATAAAAAGTCTCTGACACATTGTTTAGGAACTTAAAGGAGGCTTCTTACATGGTATTTCTATTTAATACTTTCACCCTTGTAGCCCCTAAATCCTTGAAGAGTTCTGAAGTGCAGTACTTGAACAGAAGACTCCAAAAGCATATGTCCATTGTGTTGAACACACATCTCCAGCGGTCTTGTATTACAACAGCCTGCACATCTACCCATATTTAGCTGAAAAAAATGCTACTGTAGTTCTAACAGGCATCCTTTGCTGCTAGACAGATTTGTTTTTCTGAATATGGTTGAATGTGCCCACTATTTGGGCTAACACAATTGGTCGTCTGTTTTGGGCTCTACAGATTAAGCTGTGTGAAGATTCTTTTTGTTTTATGGTAGCTTATCTCTTTGTAGCCTTGTGCCCATTTATCCCTTGTATTTGCACTGTTTTCAGCTAGCATCCACCTATAGTAGTTACGTTTTTGAAGAATCAACGACTTCGTTTTTTGTCAGGTGTTCCGTCAGGCATAGGGGAAAAATCATTATGCTAATTCTCTATAAAGTGGTGTACTGGAAATGGGAAGCTACATTTTTTTTTCCAATCCCCAGAGACCTGTCTCTGCCTCATCCCCAAGCTAAGCAGTCAGACTAAAGCTACTTAGAGAAAATGAGTTTCTCCCAATGTGTGTGTGTGGGTGTGTGTGTCTTTTGTGTATGAGCACTTACACTTTAATGATCTCCTTCAAGGTGCAGGGGTTAGAATTTTCATGTTTAAACAGCATGACGAGCAATCAGGAGCTATTCTTAAATGAGATGCTTCTGAAGACTTTTGGCTTTTTGCTGTTCTTGTATGAGAATTCTTTTGAACCTTTGAGCTGTGAGCCTGTTCTCTGTTCTGCTTTGAGTGGCTCAGTAATTGTGATGACCACTTTCCACTTTCATTCATGTTTGTTAACTTAGCCAATTACATTTTCCTTCCTTTTTTCCATATACAGTAAAACTTGATTGTGAAGCTGTGCATTAACGTATAACGTAAGATGTTACTATTTGCACTAATTTATATAGGGGTTACATAAATTGCCATCAATCATCAAACAAAATGAACTTGAAGAATTGAAATTACCAAATACTTTTTGAGGCTAATGTATGTGTAATTAATAACAGACCATCTACTACCTGTCTCTCTGTAGGACTTGGAGGGTGTGTCTCTCTACACTCTGTCTCCCAGCAGCCCTTGCTCACCATCTCTCACGCCATTGGCCACCCACCACCACCTGCAGTTGCTACAGCAGCAGTTACTACAGCAGCAACAGCAAGCACAGGTTGCTGTGGCACAGGTAAGGCACGACAGTCTCCCTCTCTCACACACTAACCCTTATTTTATTATACATGCCACTTACACTCATTCTGTTTTCATTCTCTGTGATCAGATTTGACCCTGACAATTCACCCTGATGATTGTCTTATTGCTCCAACCCAAATAAAGCAGTAATCAATCTCCCCAGTGTACCAACAGCCTAATGTTGGAGAGTCACTCACTGTAACACCACTAGGGAGTGCTTTTACTCAAAATTGAAACTTCATAAACGAAGAAACACAACACTGCTGATCTCTGTATTGGAAATATTTTTTTTCAAAAAGCCTTTATGGTTCGCAGATTAAGCTATATGAATGTGATAAAGAAATATGCCTTTGTAAGAATTAAAAAAAGGAGAAGAAACAAAGCTGTGTGGTCTGGTAATGTGCTATGGTTGAGAAAACATCTCTCAGTATAACTGGTCCGTCTCGTCTGGCCTTGTTTGGTGTAATGCACATTGACGTTATGATTATGGTCATAAATGTAATGTTCGCTCTTGAGGGGGAATAACAGAATTTGCTCTCAGAGCCAGTGCCTGCTGAGATTTGGCACCGGTGACCAGCTGCTCCATTATGGTGCATGGAAACTGTTACTGTCAAATATTCATACAATGTACTACACAAACACACACACACGCACACACACACCCGCAATCGTCCAAATGTCATGACACACTGGGAAGCAATAAAAAAAGATTTTTTCATAATAGTGTGATCTATTTGAAGCAGTCAATTTTAAAATGACAAAACTGGCATTTTAAAAAAAGAATCTCATGCTTTATTCATTAGCTGTGCGCTGTAGAAATACGTCTAGGGGCATAGTGAACTGGGTGTGTATATATACATACATACATATATATATATATATATATATATATATATATATATATATATATAAATATATATATAACACACACACACACACACACACACACACACACACACATATATATATATATAATATATATATATATATATATATAACATATATATATATATATATATATATATCACTCTTGACCCCTTGTGTCCCCTCTGTAGGTGCAGCTCCTGAAAGACCAAATGGCGGCAGAGACTGCTGCAAGGATGGAGGCTCAGGCCAGGACCCACCAACTGCTGCTGCAGAATCGAGACCTACTGCAACACATCGCACTGTTGGTCAAACACGTTAGTGAGCTCGAGTCCAGAGTTAACGGAACCACACAGTGTAAGATGTACACACTTATGTTTTAGCTATGAAGGTTTTTCCAGAATTTTCTAATATGGTGTTAATGGGGATGCGCACGGGTGTGAGTACTCAGTTAGACGTTTGCAGTGCCGTTTGTTTTCCTACCTTTGTGGGTACAGTGTATCCATATATATATATATATACACATAGGTACATACATTATAAGCACATACATATAAGTGTGTGTGTGTGTTTGTGTGCGCGCTTATCTCAGAACCGCAGCTGTCAAATTCTGTTCTGAGGCTTTAAGTACATTTGCTGTGTCAACAGAAGGGCATCATTGAAATGGGCCTCTACACACATTAAAGAGAACATTACAAAGAACTCACAGTTCTGCCTATCCATTCCTTTTGTCTTTTTGTATCTTGTTGAGTGTTTGGGACAAGCACAAAGCCAGCTTTGAGTACAGAGTTCAGTCAGCTCACCTGAAGAAAATAAGGAGAATGTTCAACATTCTGTTTGTGTTTAAGATCTTAACAGAGAGATACTGAGTAAGTGAGAGAGACGGAGAGAGATTAGACTGAATTACACTCACAGATGTGAGTCCACACATACACGTCTGACACATCATTTTTTTGGCTGGGATGTAATGGTGTTATGGAGGCTGTCTGTCTCCACTAATTCGTTACACAGAGTCCACTAGTGCATCAACACTGGGCCTGCTGCCAAACACAGACTGTGTGTGTGTGTTTCTCACTTGGCTTTTGGAGGATAAATACTTTGTGTGTTTCCTAAGTACATTTAGGTATACATTTAGGCATAAGCCTGTTTGTTTTTCAACCCTCAAGAGTTATTACTATTGTTTTGCTATTGTATTCAAATGTAATTACAGAGTGAATTACACAATGAATTATATTTGTTTGATTTACCTTCTGTATCGACAGCTTTGAGTCTGCCATTCCGATTTTTTGTTTGATATCAAGAAATGATAATGGCAAAAACATGTAAAATGGTTTTTCTGTCAGCAAAACAAGACTGTGCACACAAGAATAACATATCATCAGATTCAAATCATAATATAATATCCCCTTTTCTACTTACAAACACAAATGTGGCATCGACTAGATGTGCACCGCTCATGAATTTATGGCAGATTCCAGTTTCTTTATATAGCCGAAGTTTTTGGCCAGTTTTTATTACCTCTTTCTAAACCTAAAGCTCACTCTGTATGGGCTAAATGAACACACTTCTATTAGCTATACTTGCAACGTAAATAATGTTATTTCCTTTTTAATTGGCCAAACTGTCATTTTAAATCTTAAATGAAAATCAGCATATTTAACTAAACATGAATCCTGCTAAAAGCGCTACACAGAAGTAAGAAGCAACTGGGTATTTAGTACAGCATGGAAATGCCAAGACATTTTAATATAGATGTAGCAGCAGAATTCAAATACAGCATGAGTGCACTTACCTGGCTCACAATATTTACCTCATAAAATTGCTACTCAGATCAGCCAGAATCAAAATTATAAATTAGCTGATTGCCTGTTTGGATTCCAGTGTTAGCTGATTCTGACATCCCTAGTATCAACTGAAAGTTTGGAATCTGCACTTTCAACAGAATTTCTCTGCTTGTTTCTGTTATGATTGGGCAGTATAAGGGTAATATAAAACAATATCTACAAACGATGCCGGTATTTAAAAATTATGATGGTGTCTGAGAATTATGACATCAAATTTCTAAATTCAAAAGTTTCCCTAAATATAGGGCTTGGCAATGTGATGTTATATGCAGTGTCTTGTGGGTGATCCACCACTGTGGCAAGATTAGTTAGTCTAGGCTTTTTTTAGAATAGTTTCAGGAATCTTCCTTTACTCTGCTTTTCTTGATTTTGGCTGATCTGTAGCTCATGGAGTTCAGTAAATACAACTACAGAGCTGACTAGCAGGCAGACTACCAGATCAAAGATCAGAGCAAAATCAAGAAAAGCAGAGAGGAAAGTAAGGTTTAATCAGCTATTTAGAAGCATCTCTAGTTAAACAGCACATAAAAAGAATCGCAGTGAGAGTGCGCTTAAGCATCAAGCTCAAACTCATTTTATGCTGTAATCATATAGATCTCATGGAATAAAACTTTCACTATCCATTTAGTGGATTTATTATATTTGGTATTCGCTAACACTATACGGGCGCGCGAATGTAACTGCTACATATAAGGTGAGACGGAAAACATGGAACAAGAAGCTGGCAAACAAGAAGCCATTTTCCGCTTCATGATGAGGTGACATACAGTGATACCACCTCCACCAATGAACAATTTACCTTTCAATACGTGCTGCTCTCCAACTAAAGGGTCAGAGGTGACATTATGCTGTGACTGGGTTAGCTGAGGTGTCAGGTGATTCACGTTTGTTCATTTGTTTGTCTTAAACAATTTATTTTGACTGCCCCTTCTAAGCTACATGTGATCTAATGTTGATTTCTATGGGGGATAGTATTGTGCTGTAGTTGTACTAACTAGCCAGACAGGAATGTTTGCTCAAAGGCTACCTCCAGTAGAATAGGCCTGTGGATGAAATATGGCAAAACCAAGTAACTGAATTTAATCAAAAATTGTATGCATCCTTTCTGGTTAAATACAACAGTGCATCCCTCTGGAGTTGTACACTCCTTTTTCATTTGATTTATCACAAAAATACAGCACCCTCTCTAAGCTTTCAGACCCAGTGTATATTTGCAGCTAGTAAACAAGTGGCAGTGCTAGAAAAAAGGTGGCAGAACCAGAAAAAATCTCAAAAAAACGAATTGTGATAGCATCTCAGCGACAACTAAGAGCAACACAACACAAACAATGGTTGTCATTTTAACATCGTTTAGCAACCAGTCTTGTGCTGTGGTGTATGGTGTGTTTGGCCTGATAACTAAGCTCTTGTTAGTTTAGCAAAAATGCAACAGCCCCAGACACCACAAAACAGTTTTGATTTCAGCTTTCTGTCACTCCAACACCAGTCACATGACTTTGGCTTTCTCAGACATTAGTTTTTATCATCTGATTCAGCAAAGCACCACTTAGTCAGAATCAAACCTGTACCGTATATGAAATGTTTTCACAATCAATTTTTTTCACTACTTCAATCACTGATTCAATCACAATCAATTTTTTTCACTACTTCAATCACTGATTTCTGTAATGGCTTGGCTACATTGTAAATAAAGGTCACCCTCATCTGAGTTTACATAAAGGTTTATTGATAATGTGATGTGTGGCACTGTTTGGGTCTGTAGCCTGCTTGCTAATCTAGCGTTACGTTAGTCCATCAGGCTACAGATTCAAACAGTTGCTCAACCTCACTCCCTCAGATTTAAATAATCATTAGCTGAACTTCCTTGTCGGTGCTTTAATTAGACAGAATTGAACATGTTCTTTGGTGAGCAGAGCTGTGATGCTTGCTTGCTAAGCTAATGCTAACCAGCTCCTCTCTCCTAGTTTGCAGCACTGTTTAACATTTAGCACTTGTTAGATAGATGGTTTGACATTTAATGAATGGTGGTTTAACATTTGTGCACTGTGTTCACTTATTTGGTGACCATGTAAGCAAACTAGATTTTAAAATAACGCAGCCCCAGGCAGCAAAAAAAGTGTCACAAATGCTTTTACATCACTTACACTTTTAGTTTTTAAACGAGTCATCGCAAATCTCTTCTATCCTCCAGATGAAGAGTCACCATGGAGAGGTGTTTCTGCCTGCTCTCTCTCACTCAATCTGAAGAACCGCTACACGCCCAGCTCAGACCAGCCCATGACCTCCACGCCAGCGGGAGAGACAGACAACTGTCTCCCGATCACCCATACAGCGGACTGTGAGTCCTACCTCAACCTGCTCAAACTGGGCAGACCCGCCACAGCCAATGGCAAGCCAGCGGATGCAGGAAGTGAGCAGGGATTGGACAGCGCAAGGAGTGACATCACTAGGATGAATTCATCCACACTGGACAAACGGTACACAACATTTCCTCTCATACACATGCAGACAGCACTGAGTTTATTTATTGTATGCAAAGGTCCTTATTCATAAGCACTCTGTCCTTATTTGTCCAGGAAGCGTATTCAACAGTCTCTATAGCAACATGCTTACAACAAACAAATTCACAAGCAAGTGGGTACTTCAAGCTGAGAACTAGAAGAAAAAGTAACCTTGACACTGCACAAAAACAGGGGTGGACTGGGAGAAAGAAGGAGAACAGATGTTTTGGCAGAGAGAGGGATGTCAAGTCTGGTTCATATAAACAAAAACATGAGAAAGAAGGGTGAATGAAAGAACGGCAGGCATTTATAAAGTGTGATGGCAGATTCCTTTGTATGTATGTTTTTATGTATGCATATGTTTGTTCTTTAGTGGCGGCTGTTTAATTTCTTTCCAAGGTTTAGATTTAGGTTTAGATGAGACACACACACACTGTATACATGAGCAGACTGAGTGTGTGTGTGTGTGTATAAATGTTAACCACTTCCTGCCAAACTGATTCATAACCAATAGCAGCTCGGCTTTCTGAAACTTGAGCCCCTCCATCTGCACAAAATAAAAGCACAGGCTTGTGGAGCAGAGCAGGTCAAAACAAACGCAAGATAAAAAGAGACAAAGACTGAGAAAAGAAAAAAAGGAGAGCAAGTTTTAAGCTTGTGTGCATCAAGCTGGCCACAGCTTACAGAACTATGACTCATTTTCAAAGGATGTTTGCAATAGTCTCCAAATTTACAATCAAAGATTTTTAGCAAAGGATAATACACTGAGTCGCCACTTTATTTGGTGCGTAATGTCTGTATCAGCACTGGTCCTATGGTGGTCTCTTTCCTTTCCTAATGATCATGTTAGAGGGGGCTGATTAATTGTGCAGCAACTGATGGGCTATAGTCAGTTATTGTAAACCTACAAAATGGTGTTTCTGATTAAATCGAAACTCATCATTCTCTAAGGTTAGTTATAACAGTGTGTTGTTCAGTTCTGGCTGCTCTCCTAGCATTATCCCCCTTCCTTAGATAATGTTGTTTTCACCTCTTCTTTTCGTTATCACACTCTTCAACTCCTGCCGTCCTACTTTTCTCTGTATCCATCTCTCCACTCAGACAGCAGACATGTAGAGATGGATATTGCTTTGCGGAAATGCAAACAAAACTAATGAAAGTCTGTAAGAAACCAATGGAGTGTCCTACCCCTCTGTTTGACCATAATATAAATAGATGTGTGTGTCTGTGTGAGAGAGAGTGGGAGTTTGATGTAATAGGTAATGGAAATTTTGACCTGTGTCAGGTTCTGAGGATTAATTAGTGTGTATGTGTTACAGAGACAGAACCCACAGTACCACCTGCTCTGTTTTTCGCTTCACACAAACATACTCGCACCAGACTGCCCACTTTCTTGAGCCTGACAAGATGTTTCATTGGCTTGATTAGTTGTTAGCTTTCTTCTTGTTTTTTCGTCGGGGATCAATATTTGGTGTGTGGCAGTAATTAGGGAAGTGAATGTAAATGCAGAGCAGAGTTTTTAAGCAACACTGGTGTCTCATTGGTGTGGTAGCTGCTTAATTCCCCAGACACAGCAAGGATGATTGACCGTTTGCAATCACAATCCTCTCTAAACGTTCTTTCTTCTGTCAGGCAAAAGATACAATTCTCAGAACAAACCTGCAGTGAGAGCGCCGCTGGAAGTAAGTTAGTATTAATTATCAGACGAAGAAATTGTGGAAAGCTGCTACTGAGAAATGTGATGTCTGACACATGCTGTCCTGATCATCTGGAGCGCGGTGGTTTATTTCATTCCTGGCGCTGAAAGAGTTTTAAATTAAACTATGTGGAAGACGTCAGTCACAGCTCAGCAGCGAAACTGTTAACAGTCAGATTTATGTTGGTTGTAAGATGAAAGGCTGAGCTTTATCTGGGTTACTGTATTTGGTAAAAGTCATAAACATGACAGAAAATCAATAAAATTACAAAAATGTTAAGATCCATTAGATTTTCTTAACATTGCTCTGACTAGCTCCAGTGTTAGCTTTAGAATTAGCTCACCTAAAGGGAAAGCTTCCGTTGCTAAAACCTCCTCTTTATTAAACATGAAAACCTGCCGTCTAAACATCGAGTGGCTAAATGATTTCCCTGGTCTGATACACATTGTTTCCAGAGTCTGTTTTTGTTCACTTTAAATTGGTCTACATGCACATCTTATCTGTTCTCAAACATGCCTACACTGAACATCTTGTAAAATCAGTGTAGTTCTGAATGAGAGTGTTTTGAATGTATTCCTCTCTGTGCTTCAGATTTTTCCATTGGACTAGTGAGCTTGTTAGTCTACTAGTGTTAGTGTTATAGATGCTACCAGGTAGTTTACACTAGAAATCTGATGGATGGAGCAGCAGTGACTGAAGGAGATGGGAGTTTCTTAGAATTTTGCAATCATTTTCCTTTGTATTTTATGACAACAGCCACCTTACATACGCACACATATGCATAAAACTCACACTTTAAATAGTTTTGCATCCTTGTGCACAACACACATCACCACAACATCAAATTGTTTTTACGTTCATATGGCTTCAAAGGACTATTTTAGCATTTTACAGTCTCTATTTGCCAAATCTGTTACATGCCACATTTTGTCAATTACCACAGACCATTTTTAGAACTTGTTGACTTGGAACACAGACTTTCACCTGGTCCCCCTAATTAAATTTTTTTTTTAATCTTACATTTTTTATTTATTATTTTTTCCCCCCAAAGCCCACTTTTTCTTTTTGGTGGGAAGGGGTGGGTCTTTAGTTATATGCATGACCATACATGACCAATCTCTCTTTACCCCTTAGAATTACTATGCCTGTAAAAGTACATGCAAATGGTCTCTGTTCTGATTGGCTGTCCTGTACTGCGTCTCGTTCAAAAAAGCAACAATTCTAATAACTTCAACATGAGTGGGTCAGTTAAACTGCTGTAGACTGAATAGGCAGATATCTGTACATACAATGATGACATATGACATCACAAAAACAGTAAATTCAAGTTTGTTTTTGTAGCTTAATTTCAAAGGGCCATATGGATAGGGGACTGAAGGGTACATTTTGAAATATTAAACCCGTTTACATGTTTAAAAAGCAAGGAGATTTGTCATGATATGGGCCCTTTAAAGTCGTTTTTCTGCCAGTTCCCATTATCTCTGCTCAGCTATGCACTTTTCCCATGCTAAACCACTCCAAGCACTGTGTTTGGACAAAAGACACTTGTCTACATTGGAAATATCGATTTATTACATTTTATTTTGATAACACTGATGTGCTAATTGGAACATGATGGCATAACAGTTCTGCAAAAAAAAAAAACTGTGGTAAACTCATGTTCCACAATGTTTTCTTTGATTGCTGTGTGACCCATGGACCACAGAAAAATTGTGCATAGCGAAACTGAAAGTAAAATGGAAGAGCATCCATGCAACACTTGTAAATACAGAATGAAAAATAAGCTGAAAAGATGGAAAAAGTTTTGCCAAGTATGCAGCGCAGTCTGACTGTTTCAAACACCCAGATGTTTCTCATAAACACTAGAAACATTATAAACACTAAGAAAGCTCTTATGTCTGTCGACTCTGGGCTGTTTATAACTGGATTTCTAAACACACACAGTGTCTCTCTCTCTCACACACACACACACAAACACACAAACACACACACGCACACACACACACACACACACACATACGCCTGCACACAGTGACCACTCTCAAAGCAAGACTTACCAGTGACTCATACTGTACCAAGAACAACATGAAATGTCTCTCATGGCACACCCACATGCGCACACACACACACAGAAATAAGTAATTGGTAAAATAATTAGTAAATAAATAGTAAATAACATCACATCACATAATTAGTAAATAAATATAGGTTAATTTACATTTTAATTCATTTCCAATAAACAATTCCTATTTCAATAGGCAGATTTGTCATTGAAGTTAAGGAACCTTTTTTGAATTGTATGCCTGATTGTGCAATAGGCAATTGGTTCCACTAAACAAGCCTACAAGAAATGACACATGTAGCTAAAATTAGTGTTATTTAGGACTGCTTTTCGAGAGGACATTAGCTACAACAGTGTACCATATGTGAAGCGAACAGTTTCATCCATGTTCTCCAAGAAATAGTGTGATGCATGGTGGTGTGAGGAATCACACATGGGTGTTCAAGATTATAGACAAGGTCGTGGTGGACGGCAACAGCTTTTGTGAGCTAACGAGGTACATTGAGCCAAAGCTAACCCTAGAAAGTTTTGTTCGTTTTAATTTGGGCTAATAATGAGTGGTAAATATAACTTGAGGACTTTAGAATATAGAAATTTTAGCAGCCCATCACTGTATATATATATATATAAGCAGATTCTTATGTAGAGTATGTTTCATATGGTTTAGGGCTGTTACATGGTCTATATGATATGATTGATATTAGCCATGTCTTAAAGTCAGGGATTACTGAGGAAGGCTGCATATCTCAGCCATTACATCACCAAAGGCTGTCCTGTTTTGTAGAATCCTTGAAATGTGGCCAATAAACACAGTCTTCATTTCATAGAAATCGAAGAGCGCAGGTGGTATATTCTTTCAGACCTTTGTTCACCCACAATCCTTTATGCATAGCACAAAACAGTTTGGAAAAAAGTCAGAAACAGACATAAATAGTGAGATGCTGTAGTACCAGACTTTGTAATGAAATGTAAAACTTAATTGAATGCTTTTAAACCCAAGATTTACATGAGTTGTGTAGCTGACGTCAATAAGCCATGACATGTCAGTTCAGCCTGCTCAGGCCGTCTCGAATTGCATGAACGAACACTGAAGACCAGTCATGTACCAGGGCTAGCAAGGTCTCTCCTACCTTGACTGCAGCCTTCACTTTGAGATGTGTCTGTTTTGATGGGTCACATCCTTAATTTTAGGCTTGCCGGTCAACAATTAAACCCTG